TTTCTAACTAGATAATTTCGTAAAAAATTTTTTAAAACCTTGAAATTCTTTTTTGTAGAATTTTGCCCAGCCGTTTAAGCTTTAATTTAAGTCGTCAACCATTAAAAAATTTTTCATGATACAGAACATATAACACAAAAACCACAAATATTGTGAGCCAAAAATTTAATTAAAATCAAACCAGATGTTGATAAAACTAAAATTATATTCAATCTAATATTCCTTTATCCAAAAATTTTACAAATTTCTCAAAACGAACACCAAATTCTCCTACGAAATTCACCTACATAGTTCGGAAAAAATTTGTTTTTCTTTTAAATCTACATATTTCTATTCAATCGCATATTCTAAATTAATTGCTTTACTTGAACATCTCTTTAGTTGCATCAACCGTATACCAGTTTTAGTTTTTGAAAAATTTGTTGAAAATTTATTAACTTCCTTAAATTATTTATTAGCTTAATAATGTTAATATATCATTTACAAACTCCATTTTGTGTAAAAAATTAAATTTTCCTATTAAAAAAAAATTTTTCTAATAATATAAATTCCAAAATTTATATGGCCTGTCTTTAAAAATTCACTCCAGCTGAATAATTTTAATAGCTTCTGATGCCAAATGGTGTCTAGATTCCGAAAATTATTTTTTCAAATTTTTAAATTGCACTCAATGTGGGAAAAATGCATTTAAAAATTTCAAAACATATTCTTATAAATTTCTTATAAAAACTGGCTAAAAAAAAAAAACCTCTCAATTTTTTTTATCAAGAAAAGTTTCGAGACAAAAATTTTTGATTACTAGATTTTTTTTTGTTTTTCCTAATATTGTAGTTTTTCTTTTCAAAAATTTTTTTTAAATCAATTTTTGTTTTTCAAATTAAAAGTTTGTATAAAATTTTGTTTCAATTTTGTTATTATTTGTTACATTTCAATAAAAACTTTAAATTCTGATTTTTTACAAAATAACGTGATGTTCATCCAAAACAACACTCTTGTCATCCAAAATTAATGATAGTTGATAGTTACAGCGCTTAAAATAAGCAAAAATTAAAAATAATGAAAAATAGGGGCTTCAAAATCATTACATAGAAATGGTTTTTGTGCTAAATTTTCTGTACCATAAAAATTAATTTAAAGCTTAAGTAGCTGAAAGAAACTATAAAAAAAAATTCTTACGAAATTAACAAGGGAAAAGTTTAATTTTCCATAAACTTCGAATGCTTAGAATTCCGAAGATATGTACATAAAATACAGAATCAAGCATCATGTTTATTTTAAGCCCCTTACTAGGCCTTTTTGAAATTGTTTGTTTGAAGTCCCCATCTTTTCCAGTTATAATCAAAACAACTTGGATAAATAAAAATTTCGTGAAAATTCGTTAAAATCCCTTGAACTCGGAAACCCTTGAGATTTGGCACCCAGTCCGGAACAAATGTTTTACCCATTTTCGATCCTCTAATCAATGGTATATGTTGTTGTGTATTTTATATATGTATGTTATAATTTCCCAGAGAATAGTTTATATCACATTCATGCATTTTGATCATGCGTGAATAGGATCAAAATATATATCATTAACTATCTAATGAAATAGTTGTACTAGTTCGGGAAGCTGTTATAACTCCAAAAGCTAATTTTACGTGTTTGGAAAAATAATAAATCTATACTCATTAACCTTGGCAGTAATGTGTTTAATTATAGGTCAGAGATATCCGCAAAGTTTTTATGGAATGGTTCGACAAGTTGAGGTGACTTTCACACAACCTTAAAAGCTTATTTTAAATATTCCAAAAAATAATAAAGTTAGGTTCATGGGATTTGGCAGTCATGACAAGTTCTCACTGTTCGAAAGTTAGGGTCAGATTTCGCAGTTATTTGTTCAATTATAGGTTAGACATTTCCTTGAAATTTTTGTGGAATGGTTGGCATGTTCGACCACACAACCATTAAAACTAATTCTAAATATTTCTAAAACAAGTGCTTATACTTAGATTTTCAAGGTGTAATTAATCGGTTTAAACCAACTGAAACGTTTTTACTTGTTTGTTTTTGGATTCGGTAAAAAAAATTTTGTGAGCTGAAAATATTTGCAAATTTTACGAAGAAGGTATACTACTCAACTGAAAATAAAATTGATTAAATTTTGATTTTCATATAAATTCTACGTAAAAAAGTCATTTCTACGAGTCATTTTTTGTAAAATTAGTTTTTGCATATAAAAGATAAACATAAAACTTCTATTTTTATGCAATAGACCCATTTTCGTTAATGCTGTAGATGACACCTTCATTCAGTCGTGTCTTCAATTGAAAAGGGAATTGAGTCTCAGTTGTTCATTGTTTACACTAAATATAGTATCCCAATTCCTGATACAATAGCTCAAGTGTCCATTCAAAAATAAAAATAAAAAAAATAAATTTATGCTTAATTAATACAATATCTATATTTATAAATGTCTATATACAATTTGTACTTAAATTTTTAAACGTCAAGTCCACATATTTAGTTCCAAAAACGCCACCAGGTCTCAGATTTAGACTTAACTTTGTCAACAGAATGGCGGTATTTACACTAATATGCATGCATCGTATGCACAACACTTCTTTTATACTTCTCACACCCTCTCTTCTACAAAAATTTTTTTTTCTGTATGCACGGTATGCACGAAAAACTGGGTTTTGTATCAAGAATTTTATGTGCGCAACGTTCATCACTCACAAATACATAGAAAATATAAAATAAATTTTTTTTTTCGGTTGAAAAAATTTTGCGCATGTTTTTAAGTTTATTCTTGTTTCAAAAATCAAAGGAAAATAATATGGTGAATTTACACCACCACCAACAACATCCACCAATTACAAAATGGAAAAAACATTAGAGCATTTGATAAATATTATTTAACATACTTAGTTAGAAAGTGTAAGTGTCATAAAAATTATAAAGTTTTTAATTGATATTTAATAATTATAATATTTTAATAAGCTTAAAAATGGATACATGAAGAAAAGATCAAACCTTAATGTTGATTGAAGAATTAAAAAAACATCCTATACTATATGATCCATTAAATAAATATTTTACAAATAGAACAAGGAGAAATATGGCTTATACTGCTATGGTAAAAGCACTAAAAAATTTCAGGGAAGAAGTTACTATAGCACAATTTTCGTCCATAAATCTTTTTTGTCCTAAAATGTAATTTCAAGTAATTAAAATATAAATGCCTCTATAATACTATTACATTAATATTAACATCGTTTTAAATTTACCAAACTTACCTACCTTCAAAGCAATCTTTAAAATTAAAATCACAAACAATACACAATAATTGTACACATAGACATCACACATAGAAAAGTGATGACATGTTAAATGAAGACACAGTATTTTGTGATGACATGTGTAAACCCAAATGTAATGCAAGCATATAATGCATGCATACTCGTGTAAATACCCCCAATGGAGTTTTTAAGCAAAATTAAGAATTGTTGGCAATATCGAAAATATTAATTTTACAAGAGTATAACAACAAAACTATTGATTTTATTTACATATTTTAATTTCAGTCATATTTTATATAATATATGCCATGAATATTATAGAAATGGTGTAAAAATTAAAATATTGTGGTTAGCACTTATTTGACAAAAATAAGACCTTCATCTGTAAATAAATTTGTGAAACATAAAAATTTATGATTAATTACATGACTTAAAGTTACGTTTAAAAGATTAACTTGTAGCCCACAAAAATATCAATTTTTGAATATTTTGTGAAACAAAATGTCGCGAGCTACTTTTTTAAAATTGTTGAACGAATTTTTAGAAAAAGTAGCCAAATTCGCGAAATGTTGCCCAAACTCATGTACTCTGTGTGCAAATGCTCTCTAGATTTTACCCTAGATGTATTGAATAATTAGTCTAATGTACAACTAGCACCTCGCAGAAGTTACCTATCAAATTACTTTTGCATTAATTTCTTGTATTTAGATTATGATAAATTACATTTTATTGAAAAGATCAATATTAAATAAAACCATGTTGTTCAAACAGACCAAAAAATAATATTAGATGAATGCAAAGCGTACGTAAGTGATATTCTCAATGAAAGCTTTTAAGAAATTATGAAGCATACGATTGGGAAACTACACTAAAGCGCTATTCGAAACTTATTTTAGAAAATACTTATTTTTAAGTCAAAAATTTTCTTACAAACTCTCAATGTAATGTTTTGTAATTTAAATTTAATGAAAATGATTTTATTCTTGTAATGCCTAAGTTGGAAGTTATTTTATTTACTCTTTTCAGAAAAAATTACATATACATGATGCTTAATAAAATGCAGTTTAATAAAATGTATTTTATGTTCAATAATATGAAAAGAAGTTAATAAAACTTTCTGTGCTAGACGACTATTTTTTGGCATATTTTTTTGTGTTGTTACGAGTGCTTTTTCTTTTTAAAAATTTTCATATCAACAAAATAACTTTGTTATTTATTTTTCGTGAGTATATAATTGTTCATTTGGCTTTCCGTGAGCATATACATATTTAATTAAAAATTAGACCTTCAAAGTGTGTATTACGCTTTTTCTTCGAAAATACTCCGTTTTTAATTAAAAAAACTCCTCCTCGTCTTAATCAAATGGCAGCTCTTTTTCTGATATTTTTTTCTCTAAAAATTATGTACGTATACAGGGTACCTGCAATATGGATTAGACTGCAATTTTTTAAAATATACAATTACTATCGAATGAATGAATTTTTTACAACTATCGAATAAATGAATTTTTTACAACTATCGAATACACCGATAGTATTTATTCGATTTTGCATAACTATTATTTTATACATTTTCCTTTCATAAACGCGGAAAAATAAAATGCCTGGTAAGAATAAATTCAGAAATAATTAACATAAGTATATATAAAATATCATTTATACAATAACGTTTCCGTGTAATTGTATAAAAACTAATTAATGGGTAATCGAAATACTTCAGGTTGTTGTGGATGTTGTTCAGCTCTTAGGCCAAGGTACAAAAGGTTAGTGGACAATATTTTTCCCGAAAACCCTGAGGATGGATTGGTTAAGTCAAACATGGAAAAACTTACATTCTATTCATTAAGTTCTCCTGAAAAATTGGATCGTATAGGAGAATATTTATATCAGAAAGCAACTAAAGATATTAACAGAAAACGATACAAGTAAGTTACTTACGACTAACTTACTTTTATCGTTTATTTGTAAAAATTTCTAAATTTTAGAACGGTAGAGATCGCTATGGAAGCAATGGATATTTTGTTAATGGCATGTCATGCCCAAACATTGAATCTCTTTGTCGAATCTTTCCTCAGGATGGTCCAAAAATTATTAGAAGATGTAAACCCAAATTTGCAAATAATGGCCACTAATTCGGTATTCTATTTTGAAGAAAAAATTTGTAGAAATATATTGCTTTGAAATGGTTTTAGTTTGTCAAATTCGCTAACATCGAGGAAGATACGCCGTCGTATCATAGGCGTTATGATTTTTTTATTTCAAAATTCTCGTCTATGTGTCATGGCAATCATGACGACGTTCAATTAAGAGATAATATTAGGCTTGCTGGTATTAAAGGACTACAAGGTGTAATTAGAAAAACAGTATCTGATGACTTGGTCGAGAATATATGGGAAAAACAGCATATGGAAAAGATAGTTCCATCTTTATTGTTCAATATGCAAGTATGTTTAAATGCTAATGATTTTTACAATAAATGCTAAATAAAAAGGAAATTTATTTCATTGAATTTTAGTCTGGACCTTCAACGACAACAGATGATGCAACTCCTTCTTCACCTCCAATTTTAGCGGAATCTGTTTTACGAGAACTTGTTAGTAGAGCCTCATTTGGACATATTCGGGCCGTACTAAAACCTCTATTAACGTAATATATCTAAATTTTAACATAAATATCTTAAAATTATTTATTTTATAGACATCTTGATAGACACGAACTATGGGTTCCAAATCATTTCGCAATTCATACTTTCCGAGTTGTTATGATTTCAATTCAACCACAGTATTCTTATACCGTTGTAGAAACTTTAATGCAGCATTTAGATAATAACTTAAAGTCTTGCCCAAAAACTAGGACTTCGTTAGCTGTAGTACTATCGAAAATTATAGCTATAGCAGCTGGTGAAAGTGTTGGACCTTCAGCACTTGATATCATTAATAATTTGCTTACACATTTAAGAACTAGTGTGAGTACAACCAAGGAAATCACGCCTGAAGAAAGTCAGTATCAAGAAGCCCTCATTAACGCGTTGGGAGAATTCGCTAATCATCATCCAGATTACCAAAAAATTGAAATTATGCTTTTTATTATGAATACTGTTCCAGATTTGACAAAAAAAAGCAAAGGAGATCAAATGCTTCAAAATATATTATTGAAAAGTTTACTTAAAGTGGGAACACAGTATCGCACCACTTCGTTTGAGAAAGCATTTCCAACATCTTTTTTGCAACCGCTTTTAAAAATGGCTCGAACGCCGCACGATCCGACCCGCATTATTGTTATGCAGATTTTGCAAGCATTGTTAGATAGACATTCAAATCAAATGGTATTAGCAAATATTACAGTGAAGGGGCATAACACGCTTTCAAGGGAACCACCATCGAGATCAGATATAATATTTACTCATAAGCATGGTGCAAATATTATGCAAGCTTTAATAGAAGGTCTAGCTTTATCAGAAAAAATTGAAGCGTTAGCTGCTGGCTATAATACTGCTAGTTTACTGATTGTTGAAATGTCTTGCAATGAAACAATTCAAGAATTTCTATTATTTATTTTAGGGTAGAATTTGTTTTAGTTACAATTTCATACTTTGCAATAAACCATTTTTTTTTTAGAATTCAGCAAATAGCTACTACATCTGTTGAATTATCATCCTTACATAAGTGCAATCTACATATTATTTCTATTTCACTTTTATGTTTATTGTCATGCGTTACAGGAATAAACTCTCTTCTTGAATATGCTCAAAAAATATGTGAAGATCGTGTAGAAGAAGCACCGTATTTTCTTCCACCTTTACTAGATACCAAAAAGTTTACAAAAAATTTAAATGTAAATTTAAAACATTTATATATTGATAAATTAGCTTTGTGTGAGCGTTTGCAAAGCGCTGGTTTAGAATCTAACAGAATTCAGACTAATCTACCATATTCTTTAAACCAAATAGATAATTCCACACATCGCCATAGTTGGGTTGAGCCAGTGACAACATCTTTAGTAACTAGAAACAGTTCTGCTGACCTATCTGTTTATAATAATGATGGTGATAGTAATAATAGCTCTCCAAGTCTTACCAAGGTAATATTTATAAAAATTTGCAACAAAATTTTATAACGAAAGTCAACGAAATTTTTTTTACTCCAGAAAATTTTAGCACCTGAATATAACTTTGATGCAATGAAGAGAGCTTTGGCTGAACCGACTGAAAAATATAAACGTGAAATGGATGAAAAACAAAAGCAAATCGGAAAAACTTTCCGCGAAAGCACATTTGATGATTTAATTAGGCGAACTGAACCTAAAGTAAAATTATATATGTACATATCTACCAATTTTCAATCAATTATTCTTTTTTTTTAGCATGAAATAATTCAAAACCGATTAAATGATTTATTCACCTCCCTTTCAGTTGAAAGACAGATTGCAGCACAAGATAATAAATTTCAACAAAATTACAAAACTGTATATGAAAATAATTTTCCTGAATTATTTTATTATTAAATATGTAATATAATTTAAGTATTTATCCATATGTATGTATACATAAAATGAGTTTCTCTGACGCATTTTTACTTTTACTTATCGCGTGTTTTTGACGACGCAATTTGTTAAAAAAGAATTTTTTTAGTTGTGAAAACTTGTCACGTATTTTCAAAATTCAAAAATGAAACCACGAAATTAAATATTTTATTAAAGTAATAATATGTATGTAAAAATTCTATTTCAAAATGCATCAAATCTTTAGCAGTTTTTTTTTTACAATGTAAAAGTATTGAAAGGTCTGAGGCGATACTACAATTGTGTTAATACCGCACTTAAACTTTTTATAAAACATTATTGAAATCACGGTTACTTTTTGGAAAATTTCAATTTAAAGTTCTGTGCACCGTTCCCACTTGGATACATTTTCGCTTTAAATTTAGCTTGGATACAAAGATGTTCAAATTAGCTAAAATGCTGGAATTGCCTACATTTGAAAATTTTGCTGAAATATGGATACTTTTCTTTCTCAAAAACTAAATAAATATTGCAAAATTGTTAAAATGCTGCTAATATGGAAATGCGAAACTGCTTTATCTTCAAAATATGTTATTTGCTGACATTTCAAGTAGATTTTGGAACTTATATGAAGAAAGTAAGAAAAATTCTTTGTTAAATGAGTATTGCCTCTTCCTGTCCTCATATCTAGAACATTTAGACAAAAACCAGAAATATTTTGGTATAAGCTTGGTGTAAAAGAATATGTATTTGCTGTAGATATTTTTTAAAATTTCAGTTTTCTTGGTGAATCGTCTTTACCGAATAGTACAGAACATAAAAATATGTATTTTCTGGCCTTAACTATTAGATTTAAAATGTAATGAACATTGTATGTGATTTCTTAAAGAATTTACTATAAATAATAAAACTCGCATTTTTGAATAAAGCAAATTGATATTAATTATCAGTTAATTTGTATAAAATAAGGCGACTAAGTATAATAAATCTACTTTAAGAGGTTGGATACATTATTTTCTCGGAATTGGATACATTTTATTTTTACCGAGTGGGAACACTGGTTATGTGCAAATGTTAATTTTTAAAAAACGTTACATCACTAAAAACATTTTTAAATCACTTTATGTCTGAAAATATATGCTAGTTTATTTAATTGGTTATTTCTGGCAACATTTATATGACATGTATAAGATTGCACTATCAAACGCTTTTTTGACAGCTTTTTTGCAGTTCTTCACTGTCGAACAAAGGACATATTTTAGTACTAAATGGGTTATCATGGTTCGCGAAGCAAATAAAAACATTTATTAGCAAGTTATTTATTATTTAAATAAAAACATTTTTCAAAAATTTTATATTCAATTAATGTCTTAACATTTTTAATTTATGAAATAAGTTTTCATCGAGTGTTGATTTATTTTATGAGTACATCAATAACAGTAGTGAAGCCAGGGGTAATGCAAATATTGGAAGGATACGGATATGTACAGTCAGCGACATAATTAATCGTACGAATGAAAAAACCTTAATAAAAAACGAAATTAAATGAACTAACCTAATTTTCAAATAGAAACAAAATTAAAACAAATAAATTTATTAATTCAATTGAAATTTTTGCAAAAATTATAAAAAAAATTTGAATTATAATAAAAAACATAAAAAATTCATTTAAAAACGCGACATATTTAATCGTACACATAATTTTAACCAAATTATTTATAATGACTTTCAATTCTAATTCCTTGTTTAGTATTTAGTGTTGACACCACGTCATTTTTGAACCTCTTGCAATCTATTTGGCTTTGATTCAATCAAAGTTTGTAAATATTTAATTGGTATATTCTCCCATTCTCGTTTAATGGCAGTTTTGAGGGTAACCTTGGAAGTTATCTTGTGTTTGCCAAGTTGATTTTCTAAAAAAACTCCAAACGTGCTCTATAGGGTTGAGGTCCGGTGATTGTGGAGGGGAATGAAGTTGTTTTGGTACATTAAAGAGAAGCCACTGCTTTACAATACCTGAGGTACGTTTAGGATCATTCTCCTGTTGAAAAATTCATTCATTTTTATAACACATTTTTCGAGCCGATTCTTTTAAATTACCCTTAAGAATATTTAAATAATGAAATTTATCCATTTTGCAATCAATAAATTCAAGACTTCCAACTCCGTATCAAGATATACATCCTCATACCATAACATTGCCTCCACCATGTTTTATAGTGGATACTAAATTTTTTGTATTGAGTGCCTCCTCTTGTTTTCTCTAAATTTTAGATGGCCCATCATGTCCAAAAATATTAAATTTACTCTCGTCAGAAAAAATTACCCTTTTCCAATGAGATAAATCTGAATTAATATGACTTTTAGCAAATTCCATTCGCTTTTTCTTATTAGTATCTGATATAAACGGTTTTTTTCTTGGAATATTCTTAGGCACGAAAACCACTTATGTTTAATACTCGTATTTTTTGAATTGTACGACTATAAACATCTTTCTTATAGCTTTCTGAAACTGATTTAGCTATTTTGATACCAGTGAACTTAGGATTTTGCCTTATTTTTTTTAAAACTTGTCTTTCTTCACGTTTGTCCAATTTTCTAGGCCACCCAGTTTTTTTCCTGTATCGAACAGAACCAGTTTTCTTAAAATTTTTAACAGTTGATTTACTCCCTTTTCGAATTTTAGCTATTTCACCCAAACAAACCCCTTCCGAGTAGTATTTTATTGCGAGTTCTCTGAACTCAATACTGGATTCTTTATCGTTAACCATATCGAACTAATATTAAATACTGACCATTAAAATTTCTACAAAAATAAACGCATTGCATTCAAAATTGCCTCTAAGAATGATAACAACTCAAAATTTTTATAAAATTCTAAAATTTTCATCAGAAAAATAACCTTAAATTTATCGTACGATTAAATATGTCGCAAAAATAAGTAGGAAAAAAACTAATGTGCAAATTTGAGGATTACTCATTCGCATTTCTCACAATTTTTTGTAGCTGAACACAAACATATATTCAATCAAGTGTTCCTACAAAATTTCATTTTCGTATACGTTTTAGAAATACAAAATCGGGCGCTTTTATCATGCGTACGATTAATTATGTCGCTCACTGTATAAGTGATCAATCAAATCCATTGGAGTTATAAGAAACTGAGTCAATACAATTAATTTTTTATTGGAGGTTCAGAGCGTTTAACTCTACAACAAATTTACTTCAATTTACTTTTATTGAGTCCGAACTTAACTACCCAAGAGCTACCCTCGAATTGCTTTCTATTAGTACTACTAATTTTGCGAACTGCTTTCGATTTGATTTTTTAACTAAAAATTTATGAATATTATATTAAATGCAATAGATGATATATATGGATATTATTTATTGAAGAAGTTTTCTTTTAATTACATTTACCTTATTATCGATATTTAAAAATTTAAATTTATTTTACTACTAATGTTTGATCTTTTTTCGCTATAACCTCCGTCATAAAGTTTTGAAATACATAATAAAAACTATCTACTGAAAATCACAACAAAGTTTTCAAAATTACTTACAGTTGGATAAAGTTTTTATTTGCCTAGTTCTGACATTTCTTACGAAATAATTTTATTCGCTTGGCGAACCTTATGGTTTTTATGAATCATGACACGATTTATGGATTCGGTTCTACCAAAAAATATAACAGGCATTCGGTTCTATAAAAAATATAACTTTTATATAACATATAAAAGAAAAAATGTTTCCCATTTTTTAGCGACATCTAGAAACGAAACATGTGCAACAATTAATCCAATGTTGTTTTTCGATTTATTGTCGAAGAGGGAACGGGAAAGAAATAATAAAATACATATGTATAAACACAAGAAATGAAAAAAATAATGAAAATACCAAAAAAAATTTTTTTTAAATCAGGTTTTTGTGTGACTTGTTTTATGTTTTGATAATGTCTTTATATCTAACAAGTCCCAATGCTTAGAGAGAAACTTAAAAGCATGACCTTATTTGATATGGGTTTTTTTTAAATCGAAGTGGCTATTTTTTGAGAAGAAATATTAAAATAAATTCACACTTATTATAAAGCAGGTAAAATTAAGAAAATATATTTGAAAAATCAAAAAAATATATTAATATTTTCATTGATAATTATTTTAAAATTATAAAAAAAGCGGAAAAACAACAAGCACATCCTTCGCCTTCAACGTTTTATACGGGAGTAACTTCAACGTACGGGAGTAACTGTGGTGTCAAGTTGAAAATATAATTAATGAAAGATAATTCTTAAATATTGATATAAATACATAGTAAAGAAAAAATTTGAAGAGGGAATTAGAAAATAATATAGATATTAAATACAATCAAATATTATTTGTTAAATACAAATTTTATATAAACTTAAAAATTTTACCTCTATTTTTATTTGAAAAAATATTAAAAACTTACTATCATTTATATCAATTACCTAAGAAAAAAAAACATTTAAAATGTTTGGAAAAAACAATCATATATTTTTATGACCGGATTTGAATATTTTTTTATTTTTGAAATAAATAGTATTTTACCAAATGACTCAAAAATTCCGACTGTAAAATAACAGGTATTTTAAAATTTTTGTTTTTTATGTAATATTCTTTCCGTTTAGAATTAAGATAGGTCATACATACACATGCAGGGACATTTTATAAATAGATTGCTCTTGTTTACCTGCTAATAAAATATGAAAAAAGAGCACAGCAAAATTTTTTGCCGGTGTACCACTGCAACAATTAGATGGTTTTACAGGTTTTCATTATACGACTTTACACATGAGGGTTTATTCGACGGCTTGGGTTTCTTAGCTTCGCGAGATGGTTCATCTGTGGAGCTTTCCCGTTTAGTAGTCACCCCATTTTCGCTTATTTTCTTGCCCGCTCTACCCCGTCCACTATACCCTGAAACTATTTTGAATCTATGTTGAGAATTTCAGTAGAGAACTTGTGGAAGTTGGAGAGTAGGCTGATAAAAAGCTTTCCTCATATCATGAAGGAGAACCCAGGTCCATATCCTCCGTGCAGAGATCAAAGTTTTGCTCAGACTCCGATTTTATCAGAAGCAGAAATACTGGATAGGGTGGATCTGACAGACGACGATCTCACGCATCTGGATCTGAAGGGAGTCTTGTTAGACCTGAACCTAGATGATGATGGAGAGAATACGTTGATGGAGGCGGGTCCTGTTCGGAGGCAGTGATCCCTGAAAGAGCCATATTACGGACCACTCGCACCTTTGAGTTCGGACGACATTGCGTCGGCAGTAATACAATGCACAACGGGGGTTATCTTCCTTAGCTGAAAATCATCTATAAATACTGTATAGATTAAACCTACATTCCAAGAAAATAGAATGTTGCTAGAGTGATCTTCATTCCTAGATTTTAAGAAGCTCTCACAGCTACATGAAGGATCTTAGACCTTCTAGAGCAACGGGATGCTATATTGAAAAATGTCTAAACTGCAGAAAGTAAATAATGGTTACCTCCTTAGATATTGAAGGCACCTTCAAGAATGTCCAGTTACGGACTTTCACCCACACCCTGTTGGAACTTTCAATTCATCTTTCACACTCTGGAGAGTGTGCTTTCTCCTCTTCTCTGTAACCTGGTAATCCATCGGTTCCTGATGGGCTGGTACAGAGGCCTCTTAGCCTAGTTTCGAACTGCGCGACCGACTGTGGGCTATCTATTAAGCCTCAAAAAATGGAGCTAGTTATTTTCAGTAGGAGATATAAGATTTCGAACGTAACTCCTCCGAAACTTGGCGGAATCGGCCTATCCTTCAGCAGGGAGGCCAGATTTCTGGGGCTGGTTCTGGATTCAAAGCTGAACTGGAGACTTAACATCATGGAGAGAGTAAAGAAAGCAACTATTGTGCTTCACTCGTGCAAGAGAGCAATCGGGAAGAGGTGGGGCCTGAAACCAAGCATAGTGAGACCGATTCTGATGTAAGGAGTTCTGGTGCGGTGGCCGGCGCTCTGTACTTCCTTAAGTCTGAGATTATTCAGCAGGGTTTAGAGGATTGCAATGTTGTGTGTTGGTTGGGCTCTGTGCTCCACCCCTACACAGACTCTTGAGATTCTCTTGCATCTGCTGCCATTGGATATACTAGGCAAACAGATGGCTGCGAAGTCTGCAGTGCGCCTGGGGGTCGCATCACAGTGGTCGTGTGGCCCCACGGGTAACGCTCCGATTCTTGTGAACTGGGGGCACGAGGTAAAATCAATTGATTCGGTTCCTCCCATGCTTTCATTCATGAGGAATTTCGGAGCATCGGTCCTGCCGAGGCAAAGCTGGCGAGACGCGGTCAGGGATGGCTCCGTTCATTTCTACACGGATAGATCCAAATTTGACGGAAAGGTTGGTGAGGGTGTTTACTCCGAGCAACTGGGAGTTGAGCTCTCTTTTCGCCTGCCGGACCACTGCAGTGTCTTTTAGGCAGAGGTGGTCGCAATTAGGGTGGTTCTGCGCTGGCTTGGCGAGCATGTGGTGTCCGTGGGCAGTACTAGCATCTTCACGGACAGCCAGGCCGCAATTGTTGGTCATCTCTTAACGAGATGGCGAGGCAGTTCGAGTTAAAGTTGGTTTGAGTTCCCGCACACAGTGGGATCTCAGGGAATTGCAAGGCGGATGAACTTGCGAGACCCTTGGCCTAAAAAGGAGAACCTGGGCATGCCTCTAAGCACTCACAGGCTGCTGCCACGCAGCGCAGCGGTGGAACGTACCAATCTCAGATAAGCGAATGGAACTATGTGTAACGCGGGAAGGAAGTTGTGGCCAAAGCTAGACTTACGTCGAACAAGGGATCTGATATTTATCTGACGGGAGGATATTGGTGCGGTGACAGGGGTTTTAACTGGACACTGTCTGATTGGCGATCACGCCAGGAGGATGGGCAACCCCGCAAACGATCTCTGTAGGACCTGCTGTGACGAGGAGGAGGAAGAGGAAACGATGACCCATCTGCTATGCCCTTGTCCGGCGTTGGCGAACTCCAGGCGGAGGTTTCTTGTGTCCCACTTTTTTGAGCGGGCTACGGACCTAGCGAATGTAAATGCTACGAACCTTGGCCGTTTTCTGAGGAACTCGGGCTGATTCTAAGGAGGGAGAGGGGGAGTATCCGGAGGCATCACAACGGGCCTTGGTAGTCTAGGTGTACCCTTCGCGGGCTGTGCAACCGAACCTTACCTAACCTACCTTTGGGAATGCATACATTGACCGCTCCATTGGTAGGTTCACCTGTTAAAGGAGTATGCTTTCTCTTCTTCTCTGGAACTCGGTAATCATTCGATTACTAATAACTTGACGGTGGCTGTATCTAGGAAACACTTTGACGTCCTAAACGGGCTAATGCAGAGGGTTTCAAACATCGTCTCTGACTCGACTCTTTGCTGTGAGCTGCCCATCCACAAAAGACAGAGCTAGTTATCTTTAGTAAATATCTGAGTCTAATTCTTAATTCAAAACTGAATTCGAAGTCCAAAATTATGGAAAGAGTAAGAAAAGCGATTGTTGCGCTTTACTCATATAAAAAGACCATTGGAAAGAGGTGTGGTCTCAAACTTAGCATGGGCTACTGGCTATATAGCACAGGAATGACCTGCCCTAATGTACGGTGCTAGGGTATGGTGGCCTTCGCTTCATACAACGGCGAACTTTAGACTGATAAGCAAGATTAAAAGAATGGTAATGGTGTGTATCGATGGGTGTGTTATAGTCCACTCCTGCTCAATC